CCCGCCCCGAGCCCGGCGAGCCGCGCCGAGCCAGCGCCGGGCAGCATGAGGAGCGGCAGCGCCGCTGCAGCCGCTGGGTCCGCGGGACAGGCGGAGCAGGTGCGGCGGGGCCGGGCGGGGAGGGGAGCGGGGCAGGGAGCGGGACCCGCGGGCTGGCGCCGGGCACGGGGGGCCCTCCGCGGGCGGGCGGGCGGCAGGGAGGGAGCGCCCCGAGCCGGGATCTGCTCCGCGGGCGGCGGCGCTCGGGGCCGGCCGGGCTGTGCGAGCCGTGCGCCGGGCTGAGCCGAGCCGGGCTGAGCCGAGCCGTGCCGTGCCGTGCCCCTCTGGCGGGTCCGGGTGCCGCGCTCCCGGAGCCCTCCCGGACGGTGGCACCGCGCTGGCTCGGACGGCCACGCAGGAAAAGTCAAACTAATCTTTTCGCTCTGTGAGTACCCTGCGATTAAGGCAGCCGAGCGCTTTCCAGACGTGTTACAACGCTGGAGTGGGCTGTTAGTTTGGACGCGTCCTAATGAGTGTGTTAATCAGCGTAACATCCTTCTCTGCTCACCTTTTGGGCTAATTGAGAATGTCATCTGCTGAGTTTCTCTTTGCGCTTAGAAGTGCTTGTTAATAGCGATTGTCTTGTCGTGTTCACTCCGTTTTTCACGTGTAAATTCAGCGTGTGACTTGAATTCAGATAGCTGGCTCGTGGAGCGGTGATTGTACGTTTATTTGCCCCTACGCCTGTAAGGTTGAGCCAGTATCAAAAACTTCTATGTTCTCTCTCAAGCTTATTGAAAAAGATCTGGAGGTCTCTGTCGACTTTAAAAACTGTTTACAGTTGGCAACCTTGTTGATGCCTTCAGCCAAAATGAGACCTGAGCGTAGAAATGGGACTGCATTCTTGTATCTAAAGATGGTCTCTTGCAGGTCAAAACGGAGGCGTGTTGGTATGGACAGGAAACCTCATGGCAGCGTGGACTACTTCTTCTTCTTTTTTTTTTTTTTTTTTTTTTTTTTTTTTTTTTTTTTTTCCCCTGCCTTCCTTTCTCTTTAGAGACTCTGAACCTTGCAGTAGGGTGGAGCAGTGCAGTCCTCTGCTGCCAGACCCAGCTGGGCTGTAGCTGCCCCCTCTCTGACTCTGCTTTTGGTTTTGAGGAAGTTCTTAATCTCTCTGTGACTCAGTGTTCTAATCTTTAAAATGGCTTAATAAGACTTGTCACGCTTGCCTCCCAGGGACATTAACATCTAATTGATGCTCACGAAGTGCCTTGATCTGGCAGAAAAGAGGGCATCTTGCTTCCCTCGCGTCACCACTTTATTTTGGGTGCTAATTATATTACATGGGTGGAAAACAGATTGTCTGACAACCGAGCTGGAATTCATGTCTGTTATCATTGACACAGGCACTGAGTGTATGCCCACTTATGCTTAGTTTGAGGTGTCCGGGTGTTTGCCTAAAAACAGGGTTTGTCCTTTCTGGAGGATGTGTCTAAGAAATTGCACTGAAGCAGCAACAGACTTTTGCTCCTAACTCTAGAGATTTTTTTTTTTTCTCTTTGTATTACGAGGTCAGTAAAGGTTTTAAGAATTAAAACTGTTGACTCAACTCTCAGCATGTCCCTGATCTTAAATCTTAACTCGCCTGAATCTTACCTTAGTCTCAGTTTTTTGTCACGTTTTACTTCTTTAGAAATAGAGAAAACATACAAATTTACAGTACTCTGCTTGAAGCACGCAAACTTTAGAGTCTAAAATGTATCTTTTTAACCGTTTTACTTGCTGTTCACAGGAGTAATTAGCCACTTCACTCCCGTGACTTGAATCTTGCCCCACCTCCTCCTTATCGCTGCTGCCTCCCCCTCGGGCAGATAGCAGAGCCTGCAGTGGCAGTAGCAGGCACCTGGGATGATGGGGTCCCCATTAACACACGCCAGAAGATATCGGTATTCACAAATCAGCTGATGTGAGTGGGCACCGTGCCTTAACAGCACCGGCACCATGGGCTTTTCCACCTAAAACTTGGGGTTGCTGAGTTCTCTGTCCTTTCCCTGCCTCTTGGTTCCTCTGCACGGCGGGTCTGTGTGTTGGGAGGCTGCTTTGTGACACGGCATTTGACTCGTACCTGTCCTTCCCCGTGCTAACCCGCAGCGTTGATACCTGGCAAATACACCTTTTAAAGCGCTGTTCGATGTTGGTTGGAGCTGTTCTTTTCGTGGTAGGAAAAAATACTGCAGCTGCATCTTAGAGTGTGTGGTGGAGAAATGAAGTTCTGCAGGGAAACTGAAGCATGCTTCATTCCACTTCCTCTTGCCGTGTGGTCTGCCGCAAGTGATGTGACTTTTCTTGCCCTATCTGCAAAATCAGGTGACTTCTTAACAAATTAGTATAAAGGAAAGCATATGCAAATGGGAAGTCGTCTCTGTTTCACTCTGAGTTTCTTTTTTGTCCGTTTTTAGTTAATTGCCTCAGTGTTGCTCTGAAGTTGTATGGCATTACCAGATCCCTGACATCAGGGTGGTGTTTTTGTGGGGAGATCAGATTTCCTTCAGTTTCGCCTAGAATCCAGAGGGATGATCTGAAAAGGTTTTATTTTTATTAAGATGTGCTGAAGCAGGGTTTTCTAGTCTCCTGTCGATATCCCATTCCTTGTGGAGGTGAGAGAGCCTGTGTTTTGGCTGGAGATGCTGTTTAAGTGTAAGAAGCCGTAAACAGGAGAGGCGATTGCTCTCCAGTTTCTTCATGACTATGCTTTAAGTCTTTCACCTCTTTTAGCACATACCTTGTATCTGCTCCAGCTGTCTCACTGCTCAGGTATTTTATAACTAGTACCTTGAAAAGGGAAAACTGAAATGTATGTTTCCCATTGGGACTCTTCCATTTGTTGTGAATGCTTGGTAACCTGTGGCTGTTTCTTTGCCTCACTCTGATTCCCCTGGTGTCAGCAGAAAAGCTCTCTTTTCCTAGTGGAAGAGGCTTTGCTTCTTAAGGGCATGGTGTGTTTTGATTCCCTTAAAATGAAGATAATTTCAGGTGTCTGAAACTAAGATCTGCCTCCCCATGGTCCTTCTGTTTTCTCAGCTTGCCCACATGTCGGATCCAGAGTCAAGGAGCTGCAGAAAGGCTGGGGGATTGCTTTCTGTGTCTGTGCTGGCAGCCTGGCTTGCATGCATCTCTGTAATAGATGTGTACCTGTATAACAGGAATTTGGTGTGTGAGTTTTGTGCGTGAGCAAGTTCTTGGCTGCACCTTTCCCATGCAAGCTCTTTCTGTGAGGAGCCCATGAACTTGAAAAGTGCAGCCTCTGCTCTGTGTCTGGCAGCTCAGCTGTGCAGGGAGGGCACGCTGCTTGTTTCTCATCACTGGGACCAGTTTTAGAGGTGTTTATGCAGCAAACTGACTCTTTCAGAAGTGGTATTAGTAGCTCAGGGTACATTAGACTGATTCCAGAAAATACAGATCTTCTAAATTAAGGCTGCTAAATGTCCACTGATTCAGTGACGGTGCAGATACGCAGTTAATATTGTATTGTGACACATTCTGAAAATTGCTGTGTTTATTTTTGACCTGGAGAAGATGACTAACTCTTTCATGTATGCATAGTTACGTTAACAAGCAAGTAAAAACTTCCCCAAAATTATCTTTAGACTCCTAGTTCCATGAAAGGAAAAAAATTCAGACTTAGGTCCCTAAATCTGAGCTGTGTGTGCTATCAAGCCTTCTCTCTGCTCTGGGTTGATAACCCTGTGTTCAGTGGGGGTTATGTTTTCAGAGGTTTTGTTATCTCCTCCAAATTTCTGTGGGCAATTTACTGTGTGGGGAGAGGAACAAGAGCAACCCCTGTGTTAGGAAAGGTACCACAACACAAATTAGAAAGACACTATTGCCGTAGCTTATATTTAGTTAAATTCTGATTGTTCTTATTTCAATGTCCCAGTAGCACTGATGTAATTAGGAGAAAACTTGGGTTTGTTTTTTCTTGCTCTTGGTCCCCTAGAGTTGTGATGGCAAAACCTGGTGAGGCAGGTGGTTTATGGAATTGTGTGATGGAATTATATGGACTAGTGTTCTTGGCTCTGGCATCCCCTCTGCTGTGCTCTGGAGAAATAATGGCAGCAGTTTCTCCAGTTGCTGCATTCAGCCACGGGGACATTACCAATTCCATTTTTAAAATGACTGTGCCTGGCATTGTTTGTTGTGGAGTTTTAGCTTCCTCAAAAGCAGTTTCTTTGGATCCCTTAGTCCACCATAAATCCTTCTCAGACCTTTTAAGCTTGCAGCTTATTGCCTGTTTAGACTTCAGTAATGCCCAAAGGGGTGCTACAGTTCATCCTTCTCTATTGCTGCCATCACCAAGCATCAAAATAGAATTTCCAAAGCCATGTGAAATTTTTGTTGGGAATAAGCAGGGGTGCTTTGTAATCAACTTCAAATAGTCCTGTGGTAATTCACCAGACCTTAGACCACCCTTCCAGTACCAAAAGGGGCTACAAGAGAGCTGGAGAGGAACCTTTTACAGGGGCAGATAGTGATAGGACGAAGGGTAATGGCTTTAAACTGAAAGAGAGCAGGATTAGATTAGCTATCAGGAAGAAGTTTTTTGCCGTGGGGGTGGTGAGACACTGGAACCATGCTATTTTTATTATATAGTGTTACTTTGAGAAGACTAACAGCATTAAAATACCTGATTCTGGTAACATATTTTGTCATTTTCATACCTGAGCAGGTGACTCCCATAGCCAACTGGAAAGCTTTTAAATCTTCCAAGATTTTTTTTCCTAGCCTATGATGTACAAATCACGTGTGATGGAGTCCAGGGAAAAAAATCAAAAATAACAATTTTGTAAACACAAAGGTGGAGCAGAAGACAGATTTTCCCCTGTCTTTTGAGAAGACTCGTGTTTGGCAGATAGCAGAATTCTTTTTTGTGTGTAATCGGATAAGAGTGTATTGCAAAGACTGTAATCTGTGTTATTGGCTGAGGTGAGCCCCATCTGTTAGTGGTGTCAGGGATGTGCAATACCCTTGCCCTCTAAACTCATGCACACAGGGAGCAGCACAGAAGGATTTACAGAAACAAATGCAGGCTCTGAAGGCAGTTGCTAAAAGCCAAGGGAGGAATTCAGAACGGAATGCAATGTTCTCTGCTGACACCCTTTCTAGCTGAGGAAATCCACTGGTTAAAGGAGAACTTCACAAGATACTGGGTACTTTTTGGTTTCTGCTTATTCATAGTTTGACCTCCTTTCATACAAGTTCACCTGTTCTACACGCTTGTTATCAGGCTGTTTTTTATGGATTGTCGTTACGGCGCCTTGTACTGATCTGGGAATAATTTAAAATAGCAAACTGAGCTGATTAGAAGAAAAAATGGGCTTGTGTTGGGCTTGACTTCATGGTGGTAAATATGCAGTCAGTGCTAATCACCCCCGTGTCATCACTCACCCCAGCTGTGGGTCAGACACAGGATCTGCTTGTGCACTTGAATTGCCATTGCCTTTTTCCTTTCAGAGGCAGTAAAGGAGTGAGCATGCTGACACAAGAGCTTACGTCTCCAGGTCTCATTTCCATCCTAGGTGAACTCAGAGAACTTTGATGGAATGTGATATTTGGGCTTGGATAATTTATGTGAATGAGTTCTCATTCAGATCTGATCTCCTGGCCTTCTGCTTGGTGTTTGATTTTCCCCTTTCACTGAGTGCTGCAAATTCCTATGGTTGCCACCTATGCAGCCAACTGTTTCTGGCAGTTCAGAAAATTGTTTCAGTAAATACATGGCTGTAGGGACAGAAGAATATTGAAATTTGGACCCATTTTTAAGATTTCAGTGTGAATGCAGAGTGTAGGTTCCTCCCATTTCTATCTATAGATTTTTAAAAGTAACAGCTGACACCCCTGTGTACAATATTTGCATTCAGAACATTAATGTGCTTGACTGAATGTCAGAAACAGGCGCATGGTTAAGGCTTGGACACAAGCTCCATAAATATGAACTATTGGTGCATTCAGAAACTGAGTGTGTGGATGTAATCAAATACCTCTCACTGTACTTACTCTCAGAAACTCTGCCGTTGCACCAAGTCAACATTAGGTGTCCCAAAAATGCACTAGGAAGAGTAAAGCTTGTGTAAAGAGCTAAATATATCACAGTGAATCTGTTCAGACAAAAGAAACCATCTTTCTGTTGTTCTGTTGGGGGGCTGTGTATGAGAGGGAATAAGGGTTAGGGTGGTTAACTTTATTTTCTGGGGGTGAATAGCACACATTTTTCAGTGCACAAAGCTGGTATTACTCAGTTTGTGACCTGCTTCCTGGTGAAAATGTCGAGGAGCAGGGATTGGTTTGAGTCTGTTGCCTGCCCTGCTGGCACACAGCACAGTGTGATGCTGCCCTGTCACACAGTGTATAAATAACCCTGTGTGGCAGAGGGAATTGGAGACAATGTGCAAATACTTACTGGTGTGCTGGGCCTTGTCCTGGGTACCTGGGATATATCTGGCAGTCGGTATTTGAGCTGCAGCACAGGGGTGGTGGGTGATACAGCTCAGCCACATCTTATTTGTAGCTGGGATGCTTAGATAAGCAGAAGGGAAAATAGGTTAATGTGCACCAGGTCAGCTTTGTGCAGATCATGGGGAAAAGACTGCCTTTAGTATCCCCTGTGGAGTAATTCTGATGACTACATCACGTATCAATTTCACGTTAAAGACTGAACAGAACAGAGGGGAGCAGCATTTTTCCTCCAGGAGCATCGGTTCTCCCCTGGAGGAGGGCTCAGGAGGATGCTGACCTCGGGCAGGGCAGGTTTGTGCTTCAGGGCAGAGTTAGGGTGTCCTGGGGCTGGCAGCCCTGCAGGGGAGATGTGGCTCTGGGAGATGTGGTGCAGCAGGTGCTGGCACAGGAGCAGTGTCAGGTGCCAGAGCTTGGCAGAGCTGGGTGCTGGACCCCACTCTGAGAGAAGGGTTT